ACCGCCTGGATGTTGTGCAAGCTGAGAATTTACCTCCCAGCTACTGCCTCTCCTTTCGGAAATCAGATTATCTTTATGTGCTTGCAGAAGGGTCCTGCCAGAGACTCTTGCTCCACCACTGCCAGCTGGATCAGACAAGTTATCAGAGCATATAGTCTGAAGGGTAGGGTTCCTCCCTTCCCCGTTAGAGCACACTCTAATAGATTTGTTAATGTGTCATTGTCTTTTTAGGTCAGACATCCGTTTCTCAAGTTTGCACATCTGCCACCTAAGCTTATGTTTATACATCTGTTTAGTTCCACCAGGTCAGACCTACTCTGATGCCAGTTGCAGGAGCAAGGTGCTACTTGCTATACTCAGTTTGTACAGTATAGAAGACCTGGTCGCTTTCACATCACATTCAGGCACTCGAACAGGAAGGAATGCTCTAGAAAGCCAATGCAGTAAAAAAAACAGCTTGTTAAATGCTACAGGTACCATTCCTTTAAATCTGAACTTCAGGATTCATTAAAACCTGTTCCATAAAAGCTAGATCTGTACATTATATTGCATGTAATGATATACCGTTAAAACAGCCACCATTAGTGAAAATTTAGTGCACCTGGAAAAAGTCCTATGGAAGTAGATACATCACATCTGTTCTGAGCGGGACAGAACAGGAGTCTGCTTTACTGTCAACAGATGCAGTTACAATGGGCAGTTCAGACTAGAAGCCTGAGACTACTGGGTCTGCACACTACAGCAAACAGGGACGTAATGATGTCACCACTTGATGCAAGAGAACTACAATGGGCTGCTATAAGACTGAAAGTTGGGGCTGGGAATGGAGGGCATACATCCATTTTCAGCTTGTTTTGGTCAAGTCACGTGATCCCCTGTGCCAACCAACAGCAGCTGCAATGGAGAGAAGAGAGCGCTCAATAGCTGGGGAAGCCTGGGGCTGTGATGACACCCATAAGGTCTCATGTCCCAGCCATTGCTGATGCTCCCTCCTATCCTCTGCAGCCTCCACTGGATGACACAGGAGAGCCAGATCATGTGACCGAACGAGAGTGGGCTAAAAAAAAAAAAGTTTACAAAAGATTAGTCAGCATAGGTAGGGGAAAGTGGAAAGGAACATGTTTAAGACTATTTAGGTATAGGCTGAAATTCTGCTTATGGTGTCCGTTTATGAACCAGCGGTAATAGATCGCTGCTCAGTTCTCCAGCATTCTCGGAGAACACAGTTCTCCTGTGAATGCAGTTTATGAAGCAGTTTCTCCGAACGAAGGGAGAACGGTCTCCAAACGCTGAAGAACGGTCTACAAACTCTGGAAAACGGCTCATTTTACTATAATCTCGCCAGATTACAGTAAAAGATCAGTTTACTAAGCAGAGGTAAATTATCTCTGCTTAGTTTTCGGTCGCTCTGATTCTTCAGCTCTGGGCTGGAGAATCTGGAGGGAGAACACAGATCTCCAGAGAAAGGCTGACATGATCTCCTGAGTGTCATAAACTGTGAATGACCAGAGAATAGCTGAGATCTGTTGAATCGCAGCTATTCTCTGTGTCATAAACGGACACCTTAAATGGGACAGAGGCCTTTACATCAGTGAAAAAAAAGTGTGGTTTTCTCACATTCTGGATACCTATGCATGTAAAAACAAGAATAGGTAAGAAAGCACCTATATACATATTCAATAAAATGGTTGCTCAGAGTTCAACTTTAAACCTGTAGCCAAATTCTTTAAGTAGTTTTATGGCTCAATTCACACGGTTTCAGTGCTCATGATTTTTCTTCATTGTAACTTTAGTGTTACTTTTTTCATTTGCCGTTTAAAACCTTTAAGCACACAGCAAAACAACAACATGTTGCTTTAGGACTAGTTTTATTCTTTCACAAATCATAAAAAAGCCTTAAAAGTAAGCAAGTTCATATTTTAGAAGAAAAAAAAAGGGATCATTTAGATGTATTCTTTATTAAACATAATCATATTGTACCAATATTAAAAGAGGCATTAATCCTTATATAGGTTTGGAGTTTAGCAGTTGTATTAAATTCATCATAAAGAATTATCCGGTGTTCCATTAGATAGAGAATTTTCACACAAGGACATTTTCTATTATAAATTACTAAAACACCATTCTGATAGGAACACACAGCACAAGCACAGTCTCCCTTCACATTTAAACACAAAGTAATCAAGCTTCATCCTAAATTTGCTACACCTAATATTGAGATAAAAAAAAGAACCATATGGCTTACAAAGGAAATTCCCCCAACTTGCAATAGTGAGATAGATCTAATGTAGATGGGATCAGCAGTGTGCAACTCCAGCCTTAAAAAATAACAATGCATGTTGTCCATTTTCCTTCAAAATCTCACAAGATATTTATTAGTATTCTACAATGTTGTCCAAACACTTGGCAATTTGAGTTGTTCACAACGATCTGCCACTCAACTCACTCCAATCTGAGTTTTAGTTTGAAGTTAACTAAACAATCAAAATTGCAATGGATATTAAAACCATTGCAGTACCAGATAAAATGTATTTTCAGTTGATTTAATTTCCTAGTTTGATCACTGGATACTGACTGAAACCAAAGATTGAGTATTGCAGTGGTTTATACAGTACCAGATGATACAGAGCAGGGGTGTCAAACTGGTGACCCTCCAGCTGTTGCAAAACTACAAGTCCCATCATGCCTCTGCCTATGGGAGTCATGCTTGTAACTGTCAATCTTGCAATACCTCATGGGACTTGTAGTTTGGCAACAGCTGGAGGGCCACCAGTTTGACACCTGTGATATAGAGTTTCAAACCCGTCCAGATGTGTGCCACCATTACACACATGACCAATTCATACAGCAGTGCTCTTTTTAGATTAGAAAAACATGCAATGAAAATAATGGGCCTTAAGCTGAGCCACTAGTCTCCATTATATATAAAAGATTTGCAGTTTCTCTGCTTAAAATAAAACCAGCCCCAGCATGGTTATGGTCAGGTAAAATTTCTAAATACAATTATCAGAAAGCTTTAATGCCATTAATCCTAGTTGAGATCAAGTTTTTAACATCTTAGTAGTTGGAATAGCAAAAAAGTACTGATGCTAAACAAATGATAACACAATATGGGCTATGACTGCAACTTGTTTGAAGCAGCCAAAAGTTAAAAAAAAGTGCTCAGAAAAATAACAGGGGGTTGCATATCATCCACACAATGACATAAAAATGAGAAACCTAGAAATTAGTATGTAGTTTCAATGACCTTTAAGTATATAATTATTTATGAAGGCTTTCAGTCCAGTAGCTTTACATTTGTCTTTTCCAACTGCTGCTGTGATCATCTTGATAAATGGTGGGTAAAACTGACAGGCACAGATTTTGGAAGAATTTTAGAAATGGACCATGGCATGACACACAAAATGTACTTCATCTCTTATTCTGAGATTTGGGTCCATCAATAGAGTACCTAAAAAACATGTTTGCTAAAAAAGGTCCAGTGTTTTCTAACTCACCATTACTTTACCATGATGAACATATGCATAAATAAGAGCATGAAAGAGCAATCTAATATAGTTCCTGTCTAGATCAGTGGTGCTAAATTCTAGTCCTCAACATCTACCAATAATGCATTGTTTCACCACTACCAGGTAGGTACCTTACCTGCAAGCCTGTGAAAAAAAAAACCCTGAAAAACATGCATGTTACAGATAAAGATCACAGCTGAGCACCACTCTTCTGGCTGATATGTCAACTGACCTATTGCATAGCTTACGTTATGCACATGACATTTAACTTACAATAGTAAATTTATCATCTTGAGTCTAGCACATGTACATCTTTAATCAACTTTGTGTGTTAAAGAGAAGGTTAAAATAACCTCAACAAAAGAAAAATAATCTTAAGAAGTAACTTTAAAACTATTATTATAGTCATTCGGACAAGTGGGACATAAATGAAACAAATTGTAAATCCAATTAAAAAAAGTGTTAGTTTAACAATGTACTAAATTATGGGCAAATCGATCATCCATGTTAGAAAAGGTAATATTTCTAAACCTGGATGCAAATCCTGACATCCAGCTCATGGTCCTGGAGCAACCAAAGTATTCATTTCTCTCGTAAATTTCTCAAATTTCTTTTATTCCTGTGCAAGAAGAGCCCCAACTTTCTCGGATTATATGTTTTATAAAAAAGGTAGAAAAAGAGCACAAAGTAGTTTCTAGCTATGGCCAGTCAGTCCCTGTTAACGTTGCATTCACTACTGCTTATTACAAATCTGCAGTTGCCTAATGGGGGCAGAGTGATTCTCTGTCTCATGGCAGCATGTAACAATATTCTAAGTGACCGTGGTCCATCAATGTTCCAATTATGACAGCATAAAACTATTTACCAACATTATAGCTGATAAAACAACACGATGACGAATAAAAAACAGATATTATGGCCTTACCTAGGTATACTATTCCTGGTAGCCTATAAAGCCAGCCAACATTTTGCCTACTAAAACACGGCCTAAAAAATCCAAACTTTAACCCCAGTTGGGATAACAGAAATATGGACTTTTCCATACATTTTAAGCTTTTCCTATATCACTTTATTGTAGAAACAGACAACAGGTTAGAAAATCTCAACAAGATGTACTGCATTTTAATGCACAACATGAACACAGAATTGGAAACAAAAAAACTTGAGGTTTGTGCTATACTATATGTACGTGTATAGATCGACGATCTGTGAACAGTTTTGAAAATCCTCTGCTACTACCATATAATGAAATAGCCCTTACAATGCTATAAATATTATAGCAATCAGTCAACTAAATCTTTGTAATGTGGTCTTTAGTATCCTATATCTGACCAAAATTAAATCAGCAATTCCTAGGTATCCATATTGATTATCACAACCCTAATTACTGCATCTTATCTGATTAACTATAAGATTCCTTATTGAAGACGTTTAGGAGGAGCATAGTGACTGTTGCTGGTGCATATTCCAAAAGGCATATAGAAGTGTCAGTTAACTTGGAGGTAGCTGCTTCTCAATGAATTGCTTGATGTCAGACATTTCCTGAAATAAAAGAAAATACACTTAATCTAAGGTTAATCCTCAACAGTCCCCAAACCATCTGCTGATAGTACAGAGCCCTAGGAGACACTCTGCACATGCTTAGTTTTAGTGTGTACTGCTAGAGAGCTTTTTTTGGGGGGGAAAGTGCATAAGATCGGCACAAGAACAATGGGCACTGTCCAAAAAGAGAGTCAGGGGTCATGCAGCCTCAATGGACAGTCCAACAGTTAGAGGAGAAAAAACTCCTACAAGATTAAATGGTGCTTGGCCAGACAATGATAAAAGTCACAAGACTGCAATATACTGCAGATGATAAAAGGCATTTAGCAGTTAATATTTACTAAAATAACTGCATTTCCATGTTCTGTGTACTGTGGAAGACTAGGCTATAGTGAATGCAGGCTCCTGGGTTTAGTAACACTTTAAAGCCCTGAAAACCTTTAGGTATTTATTTTAAAAATGATGCAAACAAAGCATGTTTTCAAATGTCTTTTTTTCCCCTTAAAATAGCATTCCTCCATCCCATCCCTGGCAGCACATTGTGGATCAGGACTGAAGATCTTTGCATGAGAACTGTATATACTGTATCTGCGTTTCTCAACCTTTTTTCAGTCAAGGCACCCTTTAAAATTATGGACAATCTCAAGGCACCCTTTAACATTCTGCACAATCTCAAGGCACCCTATTCTAATATGTAAAAAAATATTCTAATAGTTTTAAATAACGCAGCAAGATCCACACAAGTAGGAAACCCAACATTAGAGGTGATTTATTCTTCCAAAGCAAAATACACGTTTGCACACCGGGACTGACTAGTATTCCAATGTTTCTCTTCTTCCTCAGTTTCTCTCCCTCACTCAGCTAATGTGACCCCAGTGCTGATGGAGAGAGGCAAACAAGGATGCTATGCAGGCTTCCAACGTCCGCCTTATCAATTAACGATGTCATTGGTTGTTAAAATGCCAGCAGGTTGTAAAAGTGCACAGTGAAAACCTATGGCTTTGTGTAACTAAAAGGCAGGCTCGATCCACCTGCAGGCATGTATACAATTTTTGGACAGTTTTTAGCATTTTGCCAAGGCACCCCTGAAAAAGCCTGAAGGCACCCTGGTTGAGAAAGGCTGGTATATATCCAGGTGTCCAACAACTCCCCCCACCCTGCACAATTACAACTACCATGCTCAGTTACTAACAAACAATCACACCCCCTGTGCAAAGTACTGCCAGGGAAAGAAAGTTTGAAACAGTTCTGATAAGCCATTAATACTGGTTGCCTGGCTGCCATGCTGATGCTATGGTTTTAATAATTTGAGTCATTAAACCAGAACAAGTGTGCAAATAAAGACATTTGACTTTTTGCACTTTTATGATCTGCATCCAGGTCCAGGTTGCAGGTCAATGACTCAAAGTACTAGAGTTAGTGGGCCAGTACAACAGCCAGTCACCTAGTATTTTCAGAAGGTTTGCAGCAATGACAATTCATGCTTTTCTCTTGTTTTACAAAAGGGAAACTAATACTACTTACTCATTTTCTGCTTGTACACATAGAAAATTGTAAACTTTGGGAAAGTAAATTTCAAGTACTGCTAACATAAATGCATCAAACTAATATCTATGTGGCCATAAAAATATTCTAAAATATTGCAAAGCAAAAATTACGCTGTATTATATAACAAAATAATTTGCCATACAGTCATCAAAATACTGAAAACCTTGTTTTTCACCTGGTTGCATGAGCTGTGTGCCAAACCCGGGTAGGTCTTGAAATGTACATTCACTGGATTCATTACAGTTTTTAGCTTTTCTGATGTTAGAGATCCGAACATAAGTGGAACAAGTGGATCACTTTCTCCATGACACTGGAGAACACATACATCTTTGTTGGCACTATTAACAGCAGCCTAAAAAAAAGAAGAAAAAAAAGTAAGCCAAATCAATACTCATTTAAAAGTATGAACATACCCCCAACAGGTGCTGCATTCTTGCTGTTTAGCTATATAGTAATTTGTTATATCTCATGAATATTATACTAATTTTGTTATAAGAAAAAAAATTATTGATATGACCTCCTTCATAAAATATGAATTTGTCTTAAGGGTGAAAACACACACACACACACACACACACGTGTACACACACACACACACACACACACACGTTTGAGCCTTGGTTCACATATATGCAAATTCTGGTGCGATTTATATCGCACATATTTGCATGACAGGTGAAATAAAAATTATTTTTTGCGGAGCGAGCTGCAGTGTCATTTTGAAATGGTCAGTGCTGTGAGGGGGCAAATTCCAGTCTGATACACTTAACAATTCTTATTGGAATCGCACCTGCACTGTATGAACAAAATCATAACGCAATGGCCATCAAAATCACACTGTATCCCGACCTGCATACATGTGGACCCAGGCTGAAAGCCTTCAGGGATATTTCAGAATTCATTGACAGGTACATTTGACCTTCAGCTGACCTCCTGACCTACTAAGTGGATTTTACATTCTTAAAAGACATGTAAGAAAATGTAAAATCAGTTTGACGTGATGACACAGGTCCTAAAACTGGCAATACACTTATTCAACATAACAGTTTTGATGAAAGAACTCCAACTTTTAGAAGTCTATTGCACTAGACAATAAATTATTCTTATTGAAAAGAAACACCCAGTCCTGAAAATAATTAAAATTAAAGTGATTCTGAAGGATTAAACTAAAAAAAAAAAAAAAAAAAAAAAAACCACAACCCAAAATACGTTTATGCTTAGTTGCTGTGTGCAGTGGTGCAGCCAGGATCATCCTGTTCTTAGTGCACCTGGCCTCCCCCTCCTGTCGGGTGCCCCCACAGCAAGCAGCTTGCTATGGGGCATCCAGGCATGCGCATTCCCCCAGCCGCTGCTCTGTGTGTCCATTCACACACACATGAAGCCGAGGCTCGGCCCCTGTCTCAGTCAATGAGGAGAGGGAGTCGCGGGATAGCCAAGACTCCAGTGCACATCGCTGGATAGAGAGATAACTTAGGTGAGTATTAGGGGGGCTGGATGCTGTACAGAGAAGGTTTTTTACTTTCACGCATAGAATGCATGAAGGTAAAAAACCTTGAGCCTTTACAACTACTTTAAATTCAAAGAAAATATTCTCTCTATGTTGTTTTTAATGGTTGTTTTGCTTGAAAACAATCTGAAATCAATAGGATCTACAGTGGCTAGTTTATTTTTACATGTACAGCCAGCATTAAATTGTTAGGCAAGTGACCTTCTACATTACCTGGGGAAAAGAGGTTCTTAGTGGAAGCCAACAGCTCAGGGCAACAACACCAGCTAATTTCTGACTCATTGTTAGAGCAGTGTACAATGACAGAGCTCCACCCTGTAAAGGTAAAAAGTCTGTTTACACAAACAAATCCCACATTACAAACGTATATTACTGTACTATAGCTTTTAATATAAAATGGAAACATTGTTCCATATAAAGTTTAGTCCCTACTCAACAAGCAACAAAAAAAAAAAAAAAGTCAAATGCATTTACATTTTATTACCGATAAATTTTCAAATGCCATTTGCTGCAAGAAGTGAAAATGGAGGGATCCAGCTAGGTTTATAAACCCTGCTCCAGTGAAGCTCAGCAATTAAAGCCCACCCAGCTGGATGCCATATTATTTATTGTACAGCCACCACTATACGACTCTAGGAAAATATCACTTTATGCAAATGCATTCCAACAGACTGCAACCTGGAGGTACTTTTGGCACTCACTGATCTGCTTGATTTCAAGCTATGAATCATGAAGGTAACCGTGCTACTGCACCACTAGACGTCTTATAATGCTTTAAGTAGTGACATCGGGTAAGAGACTGTCGGGGTTAGGAATGTGCAGACAGAACAGATTTACAGCACTCAACAGGTTGAAACGACTTTCTGACAAGCTCACTTACCTGAGAAAATCCTCCTAAAATTATTCTATTTGAGGGTATACCATTCTTTTCTTCTTGGTCTATAAGAGCTTTAACTAGAAAGAAAATAAATTAGTGAATGAATATAAAGGATACTCCTGCGCGGATATGCTAAAACCTATGCAGCCAGCACTAAATTGGTGTAACCTGAGCACCAGAAGATGGCAATGATATAAAATATAAACATAGTGCAGCGCTATATAATAAAATCACATATCAATAAACAGATGTGCACAAGGTGTACAAATATCATAAATATACGATCGTCCTTGCAGGGATCAATAAGTGCGGAACTTGTGCGTGAATCCCCTGGAGGTAAAAGTGGCATGCAAAATCTGACACAGAACAAATGGGTGTCCTTTAAATGAAAAAGAAAAAAAAAAAACAACACTCTCCATGCAGGTGCGTAGACAATGCGTGACAATCCTCAGTGCCTGGGGTGCGCCCTCACCTTCCTGCCCAGGCCCCACAGGGCCAATGAGCCCTATAGTATTGCTGCTCCAATGTATGGATTCCTACTTAGCAGTGGTGTTGGGACTCTCTCCTCCTCTGTTAGCAAGGTCTCCACTGTAGCCTCCTGCTTCTAAGACCAGTATCTCTCCATGCACGTCCCCAGTAAGGCAAGAAATCCAATATAGTGTAAAACCATAGATTTATTGAAGTAATTAACTTGAAACTACTCACAAAAGAAGATATGTCTCAGCGTTTTCCACCACAAGATGGGTGTACTGCATGTGTAGGTATTTCCAGGTGCACCAAGATGGCGTCCACACCGGATAGGACGTCGCTGCAGTGCCGCTCAAGCCCCTCCTACTGGCGTATCTACACGTTACGTCACGATTGGAGCACGTGACTTCCTCGCACGTTACGTCACGTGCTCCAATCGTGACATAACGCGTAGATACGCCAGTAGGAGGGGCTTGAGGGGCATCTGTTTACGAGCTATTGATATGTGATGTTATTATATAGCGCTGCACTACGTTTATATTTAAAATAAATTAGTGGTTATAGAATGGCGCAACTTAATGTCTTTGTGGCTAATGATTATTTTCATAGCAGTACTAGCTAGCAGGTAGCTACAGTTTTTCCTCAACCTTGCATTAGTCATTTGTTTGGTATTCAAACTCTTTGTGAAATTACACATTAAATCAGTTTTGTCAAGCACTGAGGTAAAGGACTATTTTCTAAGTGAACTATTGTGCAAAATGGTGAATTTATTTATGTAGAAGATGAATTCTATATAAAGAAAGCCTTCAAAGCATGTAAGAGAGCAGTAAAATAAGTGAGAAATGCGTACTGTTCTCTGCAGCCTGCTTAATACCAGCAGCATCCTCCTGAGCATCTGGAGACAATCCAATTATGTCAAACCTAAAAACATAATAAGCACAAATCATTAAGGAAATATGCCTCGGCATTAATTGTATTTGTATAAAATATGGAACTGCAAATATCTTAAATGAAAGCTACATTAACATTATACCATGCAGCACTGTTCTACTCTTAAAGCCTTAAGGAGCCATTAATTTACGTTGTTACCAGACAACACTAAGCCTGCTTTGCCCTGTGGACACTATGCATTTTTAATTACAATGTCATTTAAAAATTAATTAGAGAGAAATAGATATATTTAAAGTCTCATGACAGGGCTACAAGAGGGAGGACAAAAGCTAGCAGGGAGATCTACAATGTTCATTAATAAAAAGCATGTCTGAAGCTACAGCATGGTCTAAAGAGCAGGAAGATTCTGTCCGCTTTGCTATAGGAAGATTATCAGTAATAAGGTAATGACCACAGAGCTGTATCACCATTTCTAACCTATCATATTTCTTGGGAAAAAACAAAAAGTAGAAAAAAGGCCATGAACTCTTGAATTTCCAAACATTTTCCTACAAGGACAAATCCCTTGTTCACAAAATGTGGAATGACGCGGATCAAAAAGTGTCAGGGAAACATCCCTATTTCTTTGTACCTTCAGGCACTAGATAGACAAGAGTTTCATCCTTACACAGAAAAGTACTGGTTACTATGAAAGGATTATACTAGATTTACTAAAACTATCGAGTGCAAAATCTAGTGCAGCTGTGCATGGTATCCAATCAGCTTCTAACCTCAGCTTGCTCAATTAAAAGAAGTATGGGAAATGTTTTTTTTTTTGTTTTTTTTTTAAATCATACTTACCTAGGTGGATGCAGCATCGCTGTTGTATCTGTCCCCCACCAGCTCTAAGGAAGTGAACTCAGTGATCTCCTAGATTGTAAGCTCCAAGGAGCAGGGCCCTCAAATCCCTCTTGTATTGAACTGTATTGTTGCTGTATTACCTCCCGTTATATTGTAAAGCGCTGAGCAAACTGTTGGCGCTATATAAATCCTGTATTATAATAATAATCACATGACCACTAAGTTCTCACTGCTGCTCTGAGCAGAGAGCGGAGACTGTCATTCACCCGCTGTCTGCACTGTCCCCCCCCCCCCACGTACACTCACTGTAGCGCTGGGCTGTGGAGGGGAGTGGCTGTACTTTTTTAAACCTTGACATTAAACCTGAAAATTAATTGGTTATGCAAAGCTGCACCAGATTTTGCATGTTCCACTTTTAATAAATCAAATCCCGTTTGTCTGGCTAGAATGCGCAACCTCCTTTTGTTTCAAGTATGCAGAAAAAAACTCATGATTTCACTAACATTGCTGTTTGGCATACTTTTTCCAAGTCAGGGTCTCAAAAGTATTGAATAGGAATAGTTACTTAACACCCAGGGATGCAGCACCTTCAGAAGGAGGTCAGCAATAGCAGCCCCTTATTCTTCTTGGGAAATATTTATTTTAAACAGCATAGGGAAAATCGCAAGGGACACAAACCATTTCAATTAGATCCAAGGGTGTAGGTTCTAAGCCTACTAAACTGGTTGACAAAATTGATACAACTTTCAGGGTCCATTTAGCCCAAACCAAGGGTGTCTGCAACCAAGAAGCCAGGTAACATTTACTCATACTGACAACTACATGCTATTGGCTTGCCTTCAGTTTATTTCCTCTTTTGTACACAGTATAGTAAGGGAAGAATACATTTGTTTTGCATAATATTTTCACCCTGTGACACAAAGCAAACCTTTAACAGCAATTTTATACTGTGAAATATATAACATGTTGTAAAACCGGTTTTGATCTGTTGTTTAATCAGGTTACCTTGCAGCTATATTCACCAACGAAGCACACTGCTGACTCAACACAATAAGAGAAATCCGTACCATTTTCGGTCAGTCATTAAGCAGAACCTTAGTGTTATGGGGTACCATTTATGGAGGTGAATAGATACCGGTAAGTAATGGTCATTATGCATGATGTAATCCATATAAGCTTTAAAATCTCTCAATTTTGGACTATCTAGGCAACAAATAGTGCAACTACATTTCCCTGTGTCCCTCTAAATGATATTACCTTATCGAAGCTAGAAATTAGTTTCTTCATGCATTTGTATTTCCCGTTACAGTCTTTTTTACACTTTTTCAGCTTGCACATTGCTTTAAAACATTTACACAAAAGTTTCTGTACAGAAATCGATGAAAATAATGAAATTCACCCAAGAGTCATTGTGTAGAAAATCTGTGGGAACCAAGGAACAAATTCCTTGCAGCCCCTATGCTTTCTGGCATCAATTAAACCGATTTGAAAACTACACAGCAGCAATTCAGTACCTAGATAACCATCATTAGAGGCAACTCCTTTTTAAAAGAGCACAAATAATTTTTTCTTAAGAGTTAAGCTTTAGGCCCTGTTCACACATTGCATAGCAAGCGTTCCTGCTCATGTTTGTTACACGATTTTATGTGTCACACATAGGGTGGCCTATTTACTTCAATGGGCCGCCCTAGGTTCGTTTGTTGCCCAAGAGAAGCTCCTACTCCGATTTGTTTGACAAGCTTAACGTGATTTTTAAAACATGCTTTTTGCTACGTGATTCTGTCAAACAGCAATTCCGGCAGAATCACACCGTGTTTGGGTCACCATTAAGAATGGCACTCAAAATGTGCATCGAGCATTTTGCAGAGATTGAGAATTGCAATGATTTTTCTGAGACATGAACATTTAAATGTTGCCTGAGCTCTCCCCTCCGACACACTTCATCTTACAATGTACCTCATATTGAGGATTAAACCCCCTCAGAGGGTGAAACACAGTGGGGGGAGGCTTTAGTTGTTCAGGTTTCCAGAAGATGTCTACCCATCAACATCACGTGAAAAGACACTGGCCCAAAAAAAAAAAAAAAAAAAAAAAAAAAAAAAGCAGCTCAGCTAAGCCTCAGTTGTATAAAAAGCTATGAGCAACAGACAGCATGGAGGGTTTCCATGCTCAGTTATGTACACTAAGAAAAAGTATTTTACCAAAAATCTTAAAATTTCTCAATCACAGGTCAGCAGGTACTTTAGTACATTCCAAGTGGTCCTGAATCTGAAGCACGGACAATGAGGTGGGAACAAGACCAAAAACACCCAAAACGGAATAGGGAAACCCCCCCCCCCCCCCCCCCCCCCCATTTACAAAACAACATGAAAAACTCTTTCACCAACAGGTGTCCACAGAGTTATAAACATCTCCCTGGTAGAACACAGTAAATTGTAAAGAGAAGACCAGGCAGTAATCTAACAAACCTTGAACAGAAGCTTGGTGCCAAATCACCCAGGAAGAAATGATGGTGGAAGGTAAGAATTTTGCTCTTCAGAATATAGGTCTGAGAAATAAACTGACCAATCCATATAGAAAAAGTGAATCGAGAGGCAGACTACAATCATCAGAGTAATGGCAACCAAAATGGCTCCTTATGCATAAGGAGCGACAAGGTGATCTCTCAGACGGACAAAAAAACTGAAGACTGAAAAACAGACAAGCCCAAATTAAGGTCTCAACGGGAGAAAGAAGGGGTGCACAGGCTGAACAATCCATGTAATGGTATCTATTGTAATTATTCATATTATATTTGTATTTATATATTGCATTATTTGTAATCCTGTACAAGGACTTATCAAGGAATACAGACATAATAGGTCAGAGCAGAACAGCAGGTATAGCCAGAGACATCTCCACACCAGGCTGGAGAAAAGCCAAAATGCGCTCTATGACATACTGATGGGGATGAAACGTATGAGCCTCACACCATGCAAAATAAGCCTTCCATGCACTGTTTGATGGTACACCTTCCTGGAATTACATTCTTGCCTTGAGGAGGGTAGGGATTACAGAGACAGAAACACTCCTACCCTCAGGACCTGAGCTTCAGCAGCCATGCTATCAAATCCATCAACTATAAGGTAGGGTAAAAGATCAGATCTTGCAACAGCAAATCTGGGCAATGTGGAAGAGCCCATGGCTTTACTGCCAAGAAATGTTTGATGTCAGCATACCAAGTTCTCCTTGGTCAAGCAGGTGCAATCAGAATAACCAAAATGCCCTACACCCTTATCCTGAGCAACAGGCAAAGAAAAAGCTGCAGTGGAGGGAAGACAAAGATCAAGGAAGAATGATGCTGAGGTGTCACCACTAGGGCATTCCTGGTCCAAGACACAAACCTGTCCAGTTTGTTGAATTTGAATGCCAAAAGATCCACAATTAATGTCTTCTACCACAGAAAAATCTTGGCAAACAGCTCATGGTGAAGGGCCCTTTCTGCCTCATTCACCTGCCGACAGCTGAAAAAAGTCCACCTGACAATTTGCCATGCTGGGAATGTACACGGCCAGGGCCAGCAAGTGAAATTTTGCCCAAAATAAGATCAAGTCTGCTTCTTTCTGAGCAGCGACACTTCTTGTCCCTCCCCGATGGGTAATGAATGCCACAGCCAGGTCACTTTCCAACTGCACCATGACAGAGAGACCCTAAAAGGTAGTCAGACCAATGTAAGAGAGCCAGCCAAATCTTCCAAGATTCCAGGGTGTTGATCAGCAATTTACGCTCCACCTATGACCACATTCCTGGAACAGAGAGGTTCTCCAGATCAACCTCCCTAGACTGACAAGCTGGCATCTGTCATCAAGACCTTACGATTTATCGGAAAGGAGAATCTCCCAGAATCTGTATACATATCTACCATTCCAGAATTGGCCTTGTCTTGGGAGTCAAGGATTGCATCAAGTGCAGCTTACCATCATCCCCAATATCCTCGCACAAACCCAAGTCAAGATTCTTTCCGCTGACCTCACTTGGGATCGCAGAGACAATATGAGTCCCAAACTAGCGAGAACCCCTACAAGTTGTTCACACAGACTGATAATTCCTACATAGACACAATGGAATTGGAGTGTGCTCCTGAAAGTGGCCATACCAGGACAAGGATTCGAATTTGACCCTTAGGGGAGCACCTTTACAGGATAAACTATGTAAGCGGGGGGGGGGGGGGGGGAGAAGGGTCCTCCTTACCCAATAGAGTATTTGGGAGCCCACTACATTGTCCTTTCCCCTAGCCTCTCTGCCTGCGAAATGCCATGGCAACCTCTCATGGCCTGCTGAGAGTCAATAGGCCCTTACCTTGGTAAAGGGAGCAGCCACCCAGCTGGGAACAGTGTACCAAGATAAGCACCTATGTGGCCACCCATGTCCCTATATTTGCAGAAGGCACCAGCATTGTTGCGCTGTATCCATAAACAAAGGCATCCACCATTTCTAGAAAAAGAGCCAAGGGACCAATCTTCACTTCTCACGGTTGACATGCCCTGTAGGGCTTTCCAGGACTCTACTACTCTTGAGGGGATCAATGCCCTGAAATCATATAGCACCTTTTCAGGGAGGTCGTCGAATATTGGTTAGCCTGGAGATAAATCGAGTGCCCAACAGCAATATTACAGATAGTCCCTGCTCCTGCATGCAGGGTCCAGGTACGGTCAATTTTGGCTTCAGGCCACTGATCTAGATTAAGCCCCACCTCCAATAGGGGTATGCAGGATAGGCCATGAATTCAGAGGACTAATGCCCACAGAAAAGAATCTACAGAGAGACCTCAAAGCCCCATCCAAAACTGAAGAAGCTTAGCTAAGCTATCTTAGGTTAAGGCTGGGTGAACAATTCCTGCCTTTTTATGGAAATTGCCCATTCACCTGACAGTAGCTGCATAACCCAAATAGTTATGAATATGAAGTACCCTGTTTCCTGTATGCACAATTAAGAAACAATTGTTTTTATTTTTTTAGATTGGCCTGTTCACACCATAATGCTGCCTTGAGGTGGGCTAGCCATGGGGACACATGAAAAAGAGAAGGTGCCAAGATCACTGGCGGGGGACACAAAAAGAGGAGGATTGGAGCAGCTTTGTGCAATACCACTGCACAGAGCAGGTGAGTATAACACGTCTGTTATTTTAAGTTAAAAAATTGGTTTAATTAAAGTGTTACTAAACTAATTTACAACAAGTTTTGTTCTTTAAAAAGAAAAACATCAAGAGTATGGCATAGATAAATGCTGTCATCTGAACTATTAGTTATTATTCAAATACAAAAAGTGCTGACTATAACAGTCTCTGTAACCGGTTCTGCTAGCACTTTGTGACCAAACCCATTCTAAAATCTTGTGTTTTCTCTTTTTATAAACCATCATTTGAGGTGATACTTTTTTTTTGCCTTGAGCAGAAAAAAAAAACTATGCTATTCAAGTGACAATTTGTTTTTTAACAAAACTAAAAATTAGCAAATAGAGAACTAAGGAGTGCCATATACTGATGAATTTCTTTGTACACAATAATGTACAAGCAGTGAATATAATACAGAAGACAAAAGCTCTGACTAGAGATCTAAATGGCACACATTATTTATTTTTCTGTCAAACAGATGCGTTATCTATGAGAGGCAGCACAGTAACAGCCAATCTAATATAGTGGCATATGGCAACACCTGCTAAGCTAGCCAAAAGAAAGGATCACTAATACTTGGCCTACTTTCATGAAGAGAAACAGTAAAACACGCCCTAGTAATAGTGCTGGAAAAACTGCTATTGTAGCCTCGGATGATAATCGTGAGGAGAAGCATACACTTTTTACTACAAACGTATCTTTTGCTTAGATTCACTGATGCAAAAAAAAAAAAAAAAGAAGTTCCAATGCACACAGCAAATTATTTACATATGCTGCATTGCTATTATTGGGCAGCAAAATGTAAAATTACATTATACTGTACCAAGATGACAGAAAGTGCCCACAAAAACCTACTAAGCTTTATCTACCACCATTCACAAGATTCCCTAGGGGACAAATAAAAGATGTCAATACATCTAAGATCCCTGTTGTCAGTTACATGCACTTCTATAAGTTCAAACAACTATCAGTGAGGGATTTAATTTACTAAAGCTGGAGAGTGCAAAATCAGGCTCATGTCTGCACAGAAACCAATCAGGGTCTAACCTCAGTTTGTTCAATTAAGCTTTGACAATAAAACCTGGAAGCCACTTGGTTTCTATGCAGAAATGAGCCTGATTTTGCAAACGGCTTCCAGGTTCATCAGTATATGGTACTCCTTCATTCTCCATTTGCTAATTTTTAGTTTTGTTAAAAAAAAAAAATTGTCACTTGAATAGCAAAACCTGGAAGCCGTTTGGTTTCTATTCAGAAATGAGCCTGATTTTGCAAACGGCTTCCAGGTTTTATTGTCAAAGCTTAATTGAACAAACTGAGGTTAGACCCAGATTGGTTTCTATGCAGAAGTGAGCCTGATTTTACACTCTCCAGCTTTAGTAAATAAACCCCAGTAGGAGTTACTGCAAAATACTCAGAACATTTGTCAAAAGAAAAAGGTGATCTATCAACTTTAATAAATGTCCAGCTACCTTTTCCAAGTAAAGCGGTAAGTACAATACAATGGTACCCTGAAGATGTGTGAACCACGAGTCACACCTAAGTCTTTATTGTAACGTTATCACCTGCAAACATGCCCCTGAGTATTCATACCCCAAACTTTTTTCTTTATGTTTTGGATAGAATAGGTTGGAATACCTGTCAGTTTTATCGACATCTAGAGCTTCCTTGGAGAGATTTCACAACACTTTCAGTTCTGGGATAACCTTTAACCTGATAGGGAGGAAGGAAAATCTGGAACAGGGAAACATATTCTAGCATGTTCCTACTTCATGTCCAAAACTGAAGGCAATTTTTTTCAGTTTTGGACAGAGCTGGGAAGGCTAAGGATCTATTTCACGTTTTTACTACTATATATGTCCCGACTGAGGAGATTCATCTTATTTGTCCTCACAACCACTGTCAGTGAGACAGGAAGTGCAGGGAAATCCAAACAATTGTCATCAGATCAAGAGGTGTGGGAAAAGTCTCCATAAAGGGACATCAGTTCCTACGACAACTCTCTACAATAGGTAGAATTCCATTCACTTTGGAAAGCAAAATTTCTAGGCTGCACAAGCAGCCTAAGCCAGATATACTGTATTATCAGACCACAGCCTGTATTATTACAGTGTGGTCAGCTTACTCCCTCCTCCTCATATCTTCCTATTGATCAGTGAGCCTATCCATACACTTAGTAGTGATGGTGAGTCAAAGTGTGACTTTGCAGATTCTGGTCAATCACTGCATAATAGAGCACAAGGGGTTTTTGAGCTACCAAGGTAGTCTGGTAGCTCAAAAACATACTTGAGACCAAATATACAATGTTTAAAGCAGAACACTAGCTTTATCTTCAGGCTTGCGCAGTTGTACAGCATCATCTCCTTTCTCAGATAATTTACTCTGAATTCAATGTACACTGTGAGCTTCTTATAGTGTGCATTAATAGCTACAGAAAGTCAGATATAGTCCACCCCATTTCCTAGACGGAGCATGTCCATCATTATCTATCCCTTTCCTGATCTGTTCAGGAAGCTACTGTATGTACAACACCTTTTCACCCTTTCCCACCAGCCATGATCTGCCTGCACTGCATATAGGAGCAGAGACCCAGTGATGATATCACAGGGTCTAAAATAAGGTATGCAATGAAAATTGAAATAGGTTATTTCACTTTTAGTAATTTCACTTTTAGCAAGTTTTTAATAAAGTATTGTTAAAGTACAGGTTATAATATGAAGAATCATGCAAAAATTATCATAAATAGTACTGGTTGCAAAGGAAAATGGAAAAATGTTAGTTAAAAAATGTTGGGAAGGGAATACATAAGAAGACGCCACAAATAATTAAAGCAAGCATGTACAAATACCCCCCCCCCCCCCTTTTCCCCTTGAGACTCTGACTTGTTAAGAACAATAGGACAAACAGGGAGGATTATTGCAGTGTGCATTTACTTACCATGAAGGCATAGCCATGTTCATATTCAATGATACTGGCATGATAGGCCTGCAAACAGAAAGCTCTAGTTATACAATATGTATCTGACCTGCATCATAACATATGTGGCAATTTACACTAGATTTAAAAAAGCAAAAATATTAATTATTGAAATTTTGTAGGCATACTAAAGAACAGAACGTATGCCTTTTGTAATGTGAAATCTAAAAACGTAAGAAGATAAGGCATTTGAAGTGGATAAATCTAAAGCAATATACAGCACTTACGCATGTGGACATATGTACTTTACATGAGGACTTCTGATGCTTGCCATTGCTTCTGCCCAGCCATGCCTAGTGGGTAAGAGAAAAAAAATGTATTTGTGCAAAGTTTGAAAATGCAGTTCTGGAGGGGTACCTCACTTTCTCGAGGAGCGTAAGGCCCCTTTAATACAGTAGTTGAATCCAAAATATCTGCCTCGTTTGAAGTCTACTTGGCAAACTTTGCCTCTCTTTTATTGTTCTATTTCAATGTGTTCATGTACCCTGCATAAAACACTGAAAATCTTAATAAATATTTTTGTGAAACAAATTATGTGCCTCGTATCCAAGTGTCCTCTTATCAAAAAAAAAAAAAAAAAAAAGCACAGCCTTTGTTGCACAAAAGACATGTCACTCTGCATCTGGTGTTGAAACATGTGAATAGGTGTGCTGGTCTCACTTCAAATAGTAAGCTTGCCTTAACATGTCATTACACTGCAGTTCTATTGAAAAAGGAATGCCTACAGACCTGTCAGTCACAGAGATGTGGCTCCTAATAGTGCCATGAAGCTAAAAGGTTTGTTAAATTCTTAGTTGTATAGACTGTGAAAATAATTCTAAACTCTAGATTTCTACCTCTTTACCCCAAATTAAATGTGCTCAAGATTAGAGTTTATCAACCCAACACCTCACTGGCCATTAAGACAACATATTTTACAGATTTCTTCACAGAATCATGCTTTAAAAGTAGACCTATAGGCAAAACTTTTTTTGTTCATTTTTGATATTTTGCCATCTGTGTCCCGTTGGGGAGCTTTACCTTCACTTACTGTCCCATAGCCAAAAATGGAAGTGAGAGGAAATCCCTACAAATTAAGAGAATCCCTTGGGGACCCACAAGTCACCAGAAATGGTGTCCCCATTGGAAGATTTCCCCTCTATTACCTTTCTGAGGACAATCAAAATTTGGGATTTTCTTTTACTTTCAATGATAATGGTAAACAGGACTAATGGCGAGGGTTCATCTCCCCAACGGGGGGCACAGACAGCAACAGAAACCTAATAGTTGTTCTAATCCATCTGCAATCTATATAAAATAGAAAAAAAAAAAAAGTTTTGCCTTTAGTTATATTTTGCAGAGTACCTAAAAATAAAAACTGATAGCATTGCAGCTTACAGGTCCTTAGATGGTGGCTGCAATCTATTTTTTTTCCACATGTAAAACAGATAATATAATAAGACATCTTCCTTGTAACATTTGGCAGACTAAAAGGAAGCAAATAATAAAAATGTATTGTTAGTTTGCATTGGTAAATAATGGTCTTCTGTAAAAGGAGAACTTCACCCAAAAGGGGAAGTTCCACTTGTTTACATCTTCCCCCCTCCACTGCCACATTTGGCACTCTTTTTTTTTGGGGGGGGGGGGTGTTTAGAGCGGGTACCTGGTTTCAGCAGGTACCTGCTACTACTTCTGGTCAGAGGCCCTGGGCAATCTGAGCCAGGACCCCGACTAGAGATGCTGCACCTGAAGCTGACTGAAGAATCAGCTCGGGTGAGCACATCACTGGATCCCTGGACAGGTAATTGCCCTTATATTAAAAGTCAGCAGCTACAGTATTTATAACTGCTGACTTTTAATTTTTTGGGGGGAGCCTGGAACTCTGCTTTAAGACTATAATCATGCGGTAAATTATGCTTACAATTCCATGCCTTTGAACCCGTCAGAAAAGAGGATTTTCACTTAAACACTGCAAGTCTGCCAGGATTAGAAGAATGTCAATCAACTTCCACAGAGATAAATGAACCATTCACTTGGTGCCTTTACCATTTTATTTTTTTGCATTGGAGCAAAGCATTGCAAGCATGAGCAGTGATCCACTGAGAGCTATAGTCACTCGACTGTGGTGGCAGATGGGACTTGTAGGTTTTTCATTCACAGATCTCTGTAAACAAATAATGCGGCTGCATAGCCACGCCAAATCCTAATACAACAGGAGTCGGTAAGGAGAAGAACTCCCTGCATTCTGTAAGTGGGGATGTGGACTCTTAGCAGGTTTCATGTTACGCCCTGAATATGGATGTAACCTGAAACATGGTCAGAGAGATGGACCTATCTTTTAAGGATTTTAGTTTCAGGAACAAAACACTGCTGGCCCATGAAAGAGCCTGCCTTTCAAAACTGTACTTTTAGTAATTGTACCGGGTGGCTTTAAAATGTCTGACCACAACACCTTGTTGTTTCCTATCCCTGCTCTTCCAGTGAAATGATGCAATCCTGGTTGCAAAGGTTCCTCATCATTAGAATGAAATATAAGTCAATGAAATAAAAATCCTGCTATTTTTTGGTATGCTGCTCATGTGATGCCAATGGTTTCCATTCTCGCTAGCCATGGCTACACTCAGGTTTGTTTGTGCAATGTCTAAGAGACATCAGAGGCTGACAAGCAACGAGTAGCTTACAGTTAAAAGCCCCATGTACTGTTCAGAAGAAATCCTTTAAAGCAGACCTTCACCCTACAGTATAAGTCATGTTGTCCTGCCTCCTCTCCCCTCGCTCTCTTACAGTTGGACATAATTTATTTTTTTACTGGTGACATTTATTTGTGCTGCAGAGCAGCACATCTTCATGTCTCTCCTAGGCTAGAATTAAGCTTTCCCCCCACCGCGTGTTCATGTGCAAATGTGCTGCAGTGCTTCAGGTCCCGAGTGAGTCCTGTGGCTTGTGCGGGGGTTTTCTGCACATGCACAAAAACATCTAATAGGGATAGTTAGGAAACTTCACTGTCTTTGAGCATGCACGAGAAGTCACCTGCGTGTGCACAGATGTAGTGAAGGGCTCTAGCAGACCTGAGAGCCAGGCAAAGCCTTTCAGACACATGCGCACGCTATAATGGCAATGCCAAAGGGGAAGAGGGGCAGAGCTGGTACAGAGCAGGACTTTAGTTTCACTTTAACCTCCTGAAGACATGGTAGGAAGACAAAATTACAAAAGTAGAGACAAACTGGAAAAGGCATCACCATTAGAGGATTCCGTTACTACCCGTTATGGTGACAACAAAAAGGTGCAGGGTAGAAAGGAATGTAGATTTTTTTTTATCTTAACACAGGGAATACATTAAAATGTAAAAAAAAAAAAAAAAAAAGCACATTTACACTTTAGAACCACTTTAAAGCTGAAAAGGATATTTCATATATGGTGGTGTTCTTTTATACCTGATCATGCATACATAGCCCACTAAAGGAGACATACTAATAGCTTGCAAACTTAAAACATACCCAGTATCTCCCAAGCCGTGCAGGAATATAACCTGAAATAAAGAACATGGTTTTAAAGCCAAGTATTTATCAGTAATTTGAAAACATTTAGTACATGACTAGCATGTCAAAGTGCTGTAAGATACACTAGCACGTATTGCAAGTAATGCATTATTTTCCAGGTTTAAAACATAGAACTGGTAATCACAACTTAACCCCTTGATACCATGCCACCTCCAGGCAGCCTTTTAAGGGGCCGCAGTTTCTGTATCACAAGACTGATATTTCATACATATACATACAGTGGTCAAGAGCTCTTCTCAATAGCTCCTGATCAGAAGCTTTGACCACCTTTTCTTGTTGCCGTATGCATGCATTACACAGTCGGCAAGGGATTATGATAATAGAGACTTAGACAGCTGTGGCAACATGAATTTTCTGTGCCATAAAAGAAATTGCATTCTAGTAGCGGATTTGGTTTTGATTCATTAAAATAAAAATACAATTTTTTTCACCGGACAGGTATATATTAAACATTACATATCTTTGTGCAATGCTTTAGAAAATAGCACAGTTACAGTTAATCATTTCCGTTGGATAATGATTAAGAGCTGCTCTTAGCGTGAAACGCGTTTACCTGCTTGCCCCCCATTGTATTTCCACTGTCTGTTATTTGGTTATATCATATGCCTAATAAAGTCGACTGATTGGAGTGCAGCCAACTGGACCTACGTTGCTTTCATTGTGCAGAACACGAGCTGAGCTGGCACACATAGCAGGAGTAGTGCCTGGAGATTGGGAGCCTTCTCATATGGAGCAGTGATAATATAAGAGAAAAATCTGTCTGTATATGCATATGGCATACCGTAAAGCATACTTGTTATACTCACTGTGGAACCCAAGGGGTTAATCCTTCACATTGTGTAAAAAGGCTGTTTGATCTGTCTTCCCTGGTTCTCACCTTCTCCCACAGTCCCCAGTCTACCTGGTGATAGTACAGAACCCTAGGATTCACTCTGCACATGCTCAGTTGGGTCTGCATTGCTACAGTTATTTTTTTTTTTTTTTTTTGGATGGGTGCATGTGATTGGCACAGGGCCAAAAAACACTATCCAGACTGAGGGTCAAGGGTCAACAGCCTCATAGGACAGTCAGGAGAATGAAAACTCCTCCTATAAACTTTAACCAGTGTTCAGCCAGACACTGATAGAAGTCACAAGACTGCTATATACTGCTGATGAGAAAAAGTATTTAGCAGTTTATATTTACTGAAATAATTGCAATTCCGTATTCTGTGGGAAACAAGATATAGTGAATGCAGGGTCATGGGTTTAGTAACTCTTTAACTAGCAAACAGACTGCTTACAAAGCAAAATACATTATCACAAAAAACACTTCCAAGTTTGGGTATTTCAGTTATTTTTTGAAAGGCAAAATGTCTTTGTGCACATATCTTTGTAACACAATGCTCCATTATAATATGGTGTCCTCACTGAATCCACAAGCTGACACTGTTCATTTTTATGGAAATCACGGGGGTCAGCATTTTAGGCTCAATGGACTTTGAGAAAATTGAGTTCAAAGAGCTACATGAATATGTCTTACGGCAAAAATGAAGTTAAACTGCTACATTAAACTTTATTTTACTAGATTTACCCAAGGAGATACAATTGTAGCATACAGTCTGCTATATAAGTGAATGTGCTGTATGCAGCCATACTCTGTAAATGTTGATTGGTGATTACCATGCATGAGCTTCCGACATATTTCCTAAACACAGAAGTTTCATGTTCACCAAATACACCAGACTTGCATAGGTCAGAATTAGATAGCTGTTGGTACACCACCACAGGGTTCTACTGGGGGCGCACAGAGGATCCACTGTGCCACGTCCTAAATCATATGTAGATAGAAACAAGAATTGAGGAGGACACTGACTTTTTAAGCACCCAATAAGTTAAAAATACATATTGAACAACACATTTTAATTTTAAATTGTGTTTAAACAAATGATCTTTTATTCTATGTTTCCAAAGAACAGAAGTATACCACTCAGGCAAACAGTTCAGATCAATCCACAACAGGTGCAGGCACTGGCTCGCCACCACACAAGATGCAATAGGAAGAAGGGTCAGCCGCACGGAGGATAGATGAATATAGTGTATATTTATTGATCCATAGGGCACACAAAACACCACAACATGAATACAGGACCTGTTAATGCGTTAACACGATCTTGTGCTTAATCTATGTTTAGTTCAATAAAATATGTATTTTCAATTTACTGTATACGTAAAATGTCCAGGTCTTCCTTTATTCTTGTTTTTATCTGCATGCCTAGGTCAACGCCAATACAAAAAGGGAGAACTGGTGTTTGAAAAATTACGGCTGTATACAGTAATTCACCTGTAGGTCAGGCTGTATATGCAGTAACCCAGTTGTGGGAAAACATCAGGAATTTAAAAGAGAAGTTTTTTTTTTTCCCAAAAAAATATACTTAACTAGGTGGATGCAGCATCACTCCGATGCTGCATCTGTCCCCCGCCACCTCTAAGAGTGAGAACTCAGCAATCACATGACCAATGAGTTCTCACCACCGCTGTGAGCAGAGAGCAGTGACTCTCAGTCACTACTGTCTGCTCTGCCCCCCCCCCCCCCCCCCATACCCTGCACTCACTTTAGTCTGAGCCAGGTGCCGCTTTAGACTCTGGGGTGGATACCAACTTTAAAGTTGGGATCTTTCCCCAGCCTGGACCGGTTGAGTGATATCAGCAATCAGAAGCCAGCTGTCAGCTGAAAACTGGTCACAGGAGTGCACAATGAACTGCATTCCTGTGATCCACAGGAGAAGTACAGCCAAAAGAGCTTTGGCTGTACTTCTCTTTTAAGGTAGGCATATAACATTATATAGAACCAACAGATTTTGCAGCACTCTACAAAATAGGACAGAGAGAACAGTTACAATACAGAAGACATGAGGGTTTGGAGAGCCCTATTAATGAGGGTTTACAATGTAAAGGGGAGAGCTGCTACAAAAAAGGTATTAACCATGGGGAGGAGAGTAGACAGTTGATGAAGAAAGTAAAACTTCAGTTGTCGTTTTCTGGGATCTCCTAAAGGCAAACAGAGTAGGAGATAGTTGGAGAGATTGGGATAGGGAGTTCCAGAGGATTAGAGGGGCTCTGGAGAAGTTCTGGAGGTGAGCACGAGAGGAGGTGATGAGAGAGCTAGAAAGCAGGAGTTCTTTGGAGGCAAAAAGAGGACAACTTGGGTGATATTTTAGGGCGAGGTTGGCGATGTAGCTGGAGTTGTGGATTGCTTTGCATGTTGCTAGTATTTTGAGTGGCGGGATTGGCAGAAACAGGAGGCTGACATTGAGCAGTTGGTAAGGTCAAGGAGTCTAGCAGCAACAGCAGAAATCATGACAGACTGAAGGGGGGATAGCCTGCGTAGAAGTAAACCAACAAGAGGGAGTTTCAGTAGTTTGACTGAGGGATAACCAGGGAGCTTTCAGCAGCTTTGAACATCTCATTGATCTCTCCTACCAGCATTTGGAGAATGGATGTCTTTACAGCATCAATGGCAATTTTTTTGCATAGAAGAAGTTGCACAGTACATACCAGCAGAAACAAATTCTGCTGGTATGTACTGTGCAGACAAGAAAAGTTCCAGAGAAAAGTTAAGCTTTAAAATCTAAAAATAATGAATTCTGACAACTTCATTGTTTGTTTTAAACACAACAATATAAACACATGCAGACAAGAAATCCACTTTAGGTACATTAGGACTTGTATATTCCAGACTAGAGTCCAGACATACCACTTTCCAGCAATATACTTCTCTGGATTTTGATTAAGGCTGCCTTCACACCATAGCGTTTTGTAGTGCGAAGCTCAAAGCTCCAAAATGCTCGGGGAAGGGGGAGAAATCAATATTACTCTATGAAGATGGTTCACATCTCACCTCCAAGTCGCCTGAAGCTCAAAAAACTTTTGGAGCTACTTTTGGAGCTCAAATTGGGCAGATTTGCGTATTTTTGGCACGTTTATATTCCCATTGAAAAGATTAGAAATGCGCAATTGGCGTGTTTTAACGTGGGTTTTTATTTTCTGCTCAAATGAAAACATTAAAAAAAAAATGTAATACTATACGAATAAATGTAAAATAAATATACATATAAATAAAAAAACATGATAAATAAATCATAAATAAATAATAACCCCTAACCTTATGAAAAAAATTAACTAAATTATTATTATTAATAATAATAAACACCCGGAGAAAAATACAATAACAATTATAATAAAAATAAATTATTTTAGTACTTTAGGTTAAGGTTATGGGTTAATTATTAATTTATTACAAGTATTTATGATTATTGTAATGTATTTGTGTATTTATTTTACATTTACTCTATTTTCACCCTTACCCTATCAAAAAACAAAATAATAATAATAAAACTAAAAGCTGAAGGAAAAACTAAAAAAAAAAATAAAACAGAAAAACCTAGCAACAAATGATGCAATAGATGATATTTTTCTTTATCGGCTAATAAAAAAAGTCAAAGCCCAAAAACACTGTATAAAAATGTGCAAAAACTGATAAATTTGAGCAAAAAATTGCGCTAAAAATGCTATGCTCAGATGTGAATGGAGCGTTAATATCAAGTACCTCAAAGCCATCTAGGACAGATTGAATTTAGATTGCCAAACAGTCCTAAGTTTGCATCATCTATTGCAGAGGAAGCTCTTCTATACGAAAACAAAACCACAAGCATTCACAAATATTTGCCTTACATTAAACACGTAAAAGCAAAATACAATTGTGTGATGCTGGAAAAGACACTGACGTGTTCCTATTCTATACATTTCCCTGTTTTGTCCCTTTAAAATGGACCTTCACCCACTTTCTGCAATATGAATTCTTCCCCCTCCTTTCATACAAACGCCAACAAAAATGTATTTATTTTTCTGAAGTACTCTCACTTCCAGATTTCTTGCCTTGTCCAAAATGACAAGCCTTTTGCAGCCCCTCCCGCATACCAGGAGGCTTTGGGTCAATCATCCAAAAATGCACATGCAACACATCATCAGGCAGGCAGGCTGGCTGGCTGGCTGGCTGGCTGGCTGGCTGGCTGTCTCTTCCTGGTTCCTTCAGCAACCCAACCACCCCCAAATACATACCACAGTGCATGCACATCATCAGGAGTCACCTTCAAGAACTAGGAAGAGACAGATGGCTACCACTGACATCGGGATAGATGGGAGCCTGGGACATGTGGGGGACAGAGATTCAACTGATCACAGCAGAACCCTGGATTCCCAGGGAATGCTAGTATGCCTATTGTGGATAAACCAGCAAGCAAGGTAGGAGTGTTATAAAAAAATAAGTAAATAAATGGGAGTGAAATTCCTTTTTAAAAACACCACAAGTACAGAAACCTTCCTGTTGATCCTGCCATAAACCTATTTCCACACTAAATAGTGAGAAAGCCTACCCATTCATTGTATGGACTCACACAGGCTGTTGGCAGATCTAAGGGAGACTGTAGTAAGTGTAATGGAGTTCTGCTACCAGTTGCTGGAGACTGAAGATGACATGGTGAGGAGACTGAAGATGACATGGTGAGGAGACCACGAGGAGTTGGTGACAGCTGGGGAGCATTACACAGAGAAGCTAGAGATAATTGTAGGGGCTTAGTGAAGAAGAGGTTAGAGAACGAAAGAAGCTGAGTTTTAACGGGTTACATGGCTTGGAAAGGAGAGAAACTGATAGTAGCTGAGGGTGACAGGAGACCACTGGGGAAGAGAAGGTGGCAGAGCAGTTGGTGAAGAAGGGCACAGATGGAAAGCTGGGCAAAATGGTGACACTACCTAGAGAAAAGAGGGCTGAGGTTGATAGGTGACAGAAGAAAGCTGGGAACAGGAAATGGCAGTAGGTGGTGGAGAACACAATAGAGATGGAAGATGACATTGAGGATGAGGGTGACATGAAGTGGCAGAGATAAGGGGACATATTAGGGGAGAAAACTCAGGCAGCACGGTGACACTAATTAGGGGTGACAGGAAAGATCTGTGGAGGAGGAGGACACATTGGAGGTGGTTAAGTGACAAAGAGAGGATGACAGGACTGACTTGGGAAGAAAAGAAGAGCAGTCAGTGGAGGGGGGCACATCAGCAGTGGAAGTTTGGTTTTATGGTGAAAATGTTTGGAGAAGAGGCGATCAGAACTGGGGTCTGATGGGTGGCAGTAAAGATCCAGACAAAAAGGAGAATGTGGAAGAGCAGTTAGTGAAGGAGGTCACAGATGGAAAGCTGGGCAGAATGGTGAGAGTACCTGGAGTAAAGGGGGTTGCGGTTTATAGGTGGCAGAAGAAAGCTGGGAAGAGGAGATGGCAGAGCAGGAGGTGGAGAACACAATAGAGATGGAAGATAGCAATGTCTATTGTTGAGGATGAGGGGTCACATGAGGTGGCAAAGGTAAGGGGACATATTAGGGGAGAAAGGTCAGGCAGCATGGTGACACTACTAGTTGGGGGTGACGGGAGAGATCTAGGGAGGAGGAGAAGGACACATTGGAGGTGGTTATAAAGTGACAAAGAGGATGAGAGGACTGACTTGAGAAGGGAAGAAGGCAAAGCGGTGGGCTGGGGCACATTGGAGATGGACGTTGGGTTTGATGGTGAAACTATTTGGAGAAGAGGTGATCAGAGCTGGAGGTGATGGGTGGCAGTAAAGATCTTGGGAAGAGGAGGACACATTGAAGGTGGTTATAAAGTGACAGAGAGGATGACAGGATTGACTTGGGAAGGGAAGAAGGCAGAGCGGTGGGGTGGGGCACATTGGAGATGGACGTTTGGTTTGATGGTGAAACTATTTGGAGAAGAGGTGATCAGAGCTGGGGGTGATGGGTGGCAGTAAAGATCTGGGGAAAGGGGGATAGTTGGTGGAGAGGGGGCACATTAGGGGTGGGTGTATACTGACAATGTTTGGAGAGGAGTGGGGGAAGGTCAGCAGAGTTGAGGGTTAAGTATGTTGAGGAGAGGGTGAGCAGGGTTGGGGGGGGGGGGTGAGAATTTGGAGGTGAGCAGACTTGTGAAGGTTGGGTGTTGACCAGAGCTGGGCTGTTCCGGGCACTTAGGACATGAGTATTGGGGAGGGAGCAGGGGTTGCTGGGAGGAAAGACACTGGGACAAGGTGTCGGAGGTCCGGGGACAGGACGGTGAGGTGGGGGAGGGGTCCAAGGACAGGAACACAGAAGTTGCTGAGTACATGGAGGAGTCGGGCTCGGCAAAGGACCGTCAGCAGACGGATTTCTATATGAAGACTCACCGCGGCTGTGGCCTTTCTGGCGGCGGGCACTATGGCAGGCAGGGGTGCGGACATGGTGTTGCCGCACATACACCGGTTGCATGAAGATCTGTAGCCCGTGAAATTCTGAATCCCTGCAGCTACCGCGCATGTGCCCGATCAGTAGGGCAGTTAGGGAAAACTAGCCGAGCGAACTGCCGAATCAGTGAAGAAGTCAGGGAAAGCTGCTGAGCGCCGAGCTCAAGCCGAGGATTTCCCTGAAAGCACTTAGGTGTCCGTTTATGGCACAGAGAATAGCTGCGATTCAACAGATCTCAGCTATTCTCTGGTCATTCACAGTTTATGATACTCAGGAGAACATGTTCAGCCCTTCACTGGAGATCTGTGTTCTCCCTCCAGATTCTCCAGCCCAGATCTGGAGAATCAGAGGGACCGCAAACTAAGCAGAGATAATTTACCTCTGTTTAGTAAACTGATCTTTTACTGTAATCTGGCGAGATTATAGTAAAATCAGCCGTTTTTCCAGAGTTTGTAGACCGTTCTCCAGCGTTTGGAGACCGTTCTCCCTTCGTTCGGAGAACTGCTTCATAAACTGCATTCACAGGAGAACTGTGTTCTCCGAGAATGCCGGAGAACTGAGCAGCGATCTATTACCGCTGGTTCATAAACGGACACTTTAACTGCATCAGTGCCGATCCCCAGGAACACACATGGGCGGCGGAACTTGGGCATTGTGACAGCCCAGCGGGGACGGGGCATCTGTCCTGCCAATGCGCTGACCAGGTAAAGTGACACTCCCATATGGCATGCTGGGACTACTGGTTCCACTGCTTACATGGAGGGGGTGTATGGCATGTACATAGAAGTGTTATGGTAGTCATACACATATCAATAAATGATCAATTTCTTTTCTCCAACCAATTCCATCATATGATACACACAGGGAGGTGGATTTCGATCAATACTTAAAGCGGAGCTCCACCCAAAAGGAGAAGTTCCGCTATAAACTGTTGTCCCCCGCTCTCCATTAAGGATTGCCAGCTTGGGGGAGCGGGTACCAGAATTTGACAGGTACCCGCTCCCACTTCCGTTGTGATCGCGTAGGCAATCAGAAGTGGAAGTTAACCTCCTCCCCCGTAGTCTTCTGGGACACGTGACAGGTCCCAGAAGAGTACAGGGCCATTCGAAAAGCGCAGCGCTTCTTCTCGCACATGCTCAGTGGGCACCCAGCTGTGAAGCTGCAAGCTGTCACAGACATGTGCCCACATTGAAGATGCCGCCACCAGGGAGAGAATACAGCTGGTGAAACCAGCGGTGGTGAGGACACCGCTGGACCAAAGGACAGGTAAGTGACTGTATTTTAAAAGTCAGTTTTTGTAGCTGCTGACTTTTTTTTTTTTTTTTCAGGTGGAACTCCACTTTAGGTGGAACTTTAGGCTCCACAATGAAAATGGGCGAACAAGCAGGAGACCCCAAGGTCTCATGAGTTGTATAAGTGTTGTTGATGTCATATCCAAGGGCCCCACATTTTATCAAATCTGGTTTGATTGTTGAGTATACATTTTGGCTTTAATCATAATCCAATTTTAAGTGTTACTATACCCAGGACCCTGCATTCACTATATCTGGTCTCCCACAGTGCACACAACATGGAAATGCAATTGTTTTAGTATATATAAACTGGTAAATACCTTTTCTCATCAGCAGTTGAGCAGTCTGGTGACTTCAGCTGAGCACTGGTTAAAGCTTGTAGGAGGAGTTTTTTTTCTGCTCCTAGGAGGATTCAAAAACCCCTGCCCTCTGTCTGGACAGTGCTGATTGGCCCTGTGCTGATCACATTCACTATCCGAAGAAAAAAAAAACACTCTCTAGCAATACACACTAAGCTGAGCATGTGCATGTGACTACGGATTCACTCTGTCTTATCAGGTGGACATTTGAAGAAGAGGAGGGGCAGAGAAGTCAGGATCAAATGGCCTTTTTACTTATGTGGAGGATTAACCCTTTAGGTTCTACAATGAGTATAACAAGCATGCTTTACTACATATACAGACTGATTTTACTGTTGTGGGTTCAGTAACACTTTAAAAACTACTTACCGGCCTGTCCTCCCCTGTATAGTAATCTGCACAAATACAGCAATGCCGAATCTGATGGAACTCTCATGCATGCGCCGGAGTAATGTCATCTCAGCCCAGTCAATGACAGCGACCAGTAATCAAGATTCAGAAGCCAGCCGCCCAAAGATGTCAGTGGCCGGTGGCATGCTCCGCGGATGGTGTATTTCTGTATTCTAGGTGATTATAGTCCCACTTTAAGGAACGACTGTAACTTACAATCCTAAATTTATCAATCATACCTCTGTGTCCACTCATAATCTTGTTGATCAAAGTATGATCATATTCATGAATAAAACATCTTAGTACTGCTGATCAGTGCAAAATAATCGATCATTTTCTGCTCTGATCGAATCTAAACTAAATTGATCTGAAGGGACATTTTTGCTATTCATTCAACGGCACTGCCCCCCACCACACCCAAGGCCCTGCCTACCGTAACCCCCCCATCACTGCACTCCTTCAGCCCTACTACCACTGAGGAAGTCACCAGAGTCTTCTCAGAAGCCCGCCTCACTACCTGCCCCCTGGACCCTATCCCCTCTCAACTCCTCCGGTCACCCCCCTCTTCCCTCATCCGCTCCCTTACCCACATCTTCAATCTCTCCCTCTCTACTGGCGTCTTCCCCTCCCCCCTAAAACATGCGCACATCACCCCCATACTCAAAAAGCCCTCCCTGGTCCCCACTGACCTCAACAACCTCAGACCAATTTCCCTTGCTGCCACTCACTTCCAAGCTCCTTGAGCGCTTGATCTTCGATCGCCTAAGCGCCCACCTAACTGACAGCAACCTCACTTGACCCACTACAGTCCGGCTTCCGTCCCCTACACTCCACCGAAACTGCCCTCCTCAAAATCACCAACGATCTACTAACCGCCAAAGCCAAAGGCGACTACTCTGTCCTCCTTCTCCTAGACCTCTCCGCGGCCTTTGACACAGTCGACCACCCCCTCCTCCTTAATAAGCTACTCTCCCTTGGCATCAGAGACACCGCTCTCTCTTGGTTCTCGTCCTATCTATCCCAACGCTCCTTCAGCGTTTCCTACAACGATGCCACCTCCTCTTCCCTCCCCCTCTCTGTTGGGGTCCCCCAGGGCTCTGTCCTTGGACCCCTTCTCTTCTCCATCTACACCTCCTCCCTTGGCAAACTCATACACTCCCACGGCTTCAATTACCACCTCTATGCTGATGATACTCAAATCTACCTATCCACCCCTCACCTCACCCCCACATTCTCCGCCCGCATCACTCACCTCCTAAACACGACATCTCTGACTGGATGTCGCTCCATTTCCTGAAGCTCAACCGCTCCAAAACCGAGCTTCTCGTCTTCCCCCCAGCCCACGCCCCCCCCCCCATCCTTTCCATCACTACCAACAACACCACCATCAATCCCGCCCAGCAAGCCAAGGTCCTTGGCGTCATTCTGACTCAAACCTTTCCTTTCAACCTCATATCAAATCACTCACAAACACATGCAGGCTCCACCTCCGGAACATCGCCAAGATACGCTCCTTCCTTACCCCAGACAGCACTAAACTACTCTTACACTCCCTGATTATCTCACGCCTTGACTACTGCAACTCCCTCCTCACCGGCCTACCCCAGTGCAAACTCTCCCCGCTTCAGACCATCCTGAACTCAGCTGCCAGACTCATCCACCTCACCAGCCGCTCCACCTCTGCCACCCCCCTCTGCCTCTCCCTCCACTGGCTCCCCATTGCCCAACGCATTAAATTCAAATTGTTCACCCTGACCTATAAGGCCATTCACAAGACTGCCCCTAACTACCTCACCGACCTGATTCCCAGGTACCACCCTACCCGTACCCTTCGCTCTTCACAGGAGGACCTCCTTCTTTCTTGCTCCCTGGTCTCCTCCTCCCACGCACGACTGCAAGACTTCTCCAGGTCCTCCCCCATCCTCTGGAACTCACTACCCCAATCCACCAGACTGTCACCTTCCCTCCTCACCTTCAGGCGCTCCCTGAAAACCCACCTCTTCAGGGAAGCCTACCCCACCCTCACCTAACAGCCGCTGCCCTTCCCTCCTCCTACCACTCCATCCCCACAGCCATTTCCTCCTGTACCACTACCCCCTCCCTCCTAGATTGTAAGCTCGAAAGAGTAGGGCCCTCTTACCCCTCGTGTGCTGTTTGATGTTACTGTACTGTTTCATGTATTGTCCCCCCTCTATTGTACAGCGCTGAGCAAACCCTTTGGCGCTATATAAACTAGATAAATAAATAAATAGTTGGTGGATTTGATTGTTTTGATCGTCATGTATAGATCAGGGTAGAAAATGAACGTATGGGGACACCATTAGTATTCAGGTAATGACAAATACTCCTCATAATGACAGATAACTTTATCATGTTTCAGGCAATTTACATTGATTTATTAAAGTGGTTCTAAATGCTGAAGGTTTTTAACCCTTCATGCATTCTCCCCCCTCAGCCACCCTATACTTACAAGAGCCGTATCTCGAACCAGTGATGTGCACGAGAGCATCAGCTCTCCTTGGTCTTTCCCTCCTCATTGGCTCAGACACAGCAGCAGGAGCCATTGGCTGTCAATCTCAGCCACTAAGGAGGGGGCAAGGCCAAGCCACACTCTGTGTGTCTTATGGATATACAGAGCCAATTTGGGAGCAAGCACGCACGAGTGCCCCAGAGCATGCAGCTTGCCCTGGGGGCACTCTGAAAGAGGGAGGTGCCGGCGGAGGACTCGAGAAGAGGAGGAGAGGAGATGCTCTGTGCAAAACCACTGCACAGGGCAGGTAAGTATGATAAGTTTGTTATTTTAAAAAAAAAACATGTACCTTTTACAATCACTTTAAGTCATAAGACATCTGGGTTTTATGATCACTGACATGTTATTAAGTATTAAACTCAAGAACAAAAACATTATATATTGCAGCTTTCCTGGCTGTGTTAGTTGTCGTTTTTAGTTTGTTT